AATAGTAATAACCGCAGAGAGGAAGTAATTCTTACGCGCCTGCGTATAGGTCATACACGCCTTATCCATGGATACCTGATGGCCCGTGATTCTTCGCTAACATGCCAAAATTGTGGGACTCCTCTGACAGTGAAACACATCTTAACAGAATGCAGAACTTACGAAACATTTAGACTCTCTTGTGACTTGACAAACGATCTACACTCCATTTTACAGGACAATACGTATGAGGTTGATAAACTGTTTTCTTTTCTATTTATTTCTCGGTGAGAATAAGGCGATAATCGGTTGAAGCCTTATAAAAAAAAAAAGAACTCCTCTTGGAATATCACTCCCGCTTTCTTCGTCTCCTCCAAACTCCTGCTTCTTTCACAGGCCCGTATATGCGTCGCAAAATTTTCCGTTTGTATATAAGGAGGCTATTCTCATCGGTCTTTGTCATGCCAAACCACCCCCCTGTCGCAACCCCTTACTGCCCTGAAACTCGAGTACTCTCCTTGTATTCTGATGACATTCCCCACATCATGTATGGTCATCTTAACAAGGCGGATAAGCTTCCTTGGAATGCCAAATTCTTCAAGCGCCCTGTAAATTTTGATGCTGTCGTACGCATTATCGATATCTACGAAAATATGGTAGGTTGTCATATTATATCCCTTTTCCAAGATCGGCTGTTTTCTGATTGACCCTACGATAAAAAAGTCTGCTGTCATTTAATTTTAGTAGTTTCTCGATTTCTTTCCATTTTCTCCTTTCCCACGTTTTCTACTTTTTTCTATGAAGTTTTTCTCCTCTTGTCGCAAATTCTTATATTCTTCCGATGCTAAGGTATATCTCCTGTGCACCATCTATTTGTAAGCTCGGTTTTTCGCATCTGTCGCTGCCTGCCATTCTGAATCAAACCACGCATCTCTAGAATTTCTTGATTCGTTTCCCAACTCTTCTCCTGCAGCCTTCGTTACAGCTTCTTTCAGAATCCTCTATTCATCTTCTAATTAATATCATTGCCCATTTCTTTCATTATGTTCTTCATCAGATGCCTGTACTGTTCTTCATATCTTTGGCGACCTTCAACTTGCTTGCGTTGATTTTTTTACTTGCTTTCCTCCTTACAGTGTGGCTATTGGAGATTCTCACTCGTACTCTGGATATTATGTAAGTAATGGAATCCATGTTAGCGCCACGAAAGGTTCTACTACTAATGAGGATGAATTTGTGGCGAGACCATATGAGTAGTTGGTCAATTTTGTTGAATGTTCCGGAGACATCCTACTGTTTTTGTGGATCCTTTTACCAGGGAATAAGGTACTACCAATAACCAAATCCCTCGAGAAGACAAAGTTGATTAACCTCTTTCCATTATCGTAGCTTTCTTCATGGAGGTTCCATTTCCCAATCGTAGGGCGATATATTTCTTCTTGGCCAACCTTGACATTAAAGTCCCCTAGCATGATTTTTACATCACTTAGAGGGTACCTGTCGAGCTCTCTCTCCAATTCATCGTAGAAATCTTCCATTTCTTTCGGGAATTCTTCTGTGGAAGCGTGGCAATTAATCAGGCTGATATTATAGAAGAGTTCCTTGAGCCTTAGTCTACAGAGCCTAGGACTTAAGGCAGCATAATCTTTGAATCGATCTCTCATTCATTCTCTTACAATAAACCCGGTGCCAAGCGTCCAGTTTTTGCTATGACAACTGTAATAAACTGTGTGATACATTTTCTCCAAAACTCCTGTTCCAGTCCAACGAATTTCCTAGATCGTAGTGAGGTCAATCCAATAATTGTCAATTTGCTTAAGGAGGGCTTAAAGTCCTCCAGACCTATTAACAGTTAAAATGTTCGATTGTCCAATTATTATGTCCTTATGACGGTTCTTGTGTCTTTAACCATTTATCAATTCAGCGTTTTCTCTTTGAGGTTTCGGGATAAGAGTGGTTTAAGGGGAGAGGGGTATCAACCCATAGTCTGCCCCCGAGTCAGATGGAGGAACTGCCTCCTCAGCAGGAGCATCCTGACGAATCTTAACCTCCGTGCCTTCATATCATGGGATATTAATTGATTAGTTTCTGTAAACCGTTCTTTATTGGTCTTTCTTCTCCATGTGTTAGTAATCTAATCCCAGATCGCTCCGATTATCGTGCGGAGGATTTTACTCTCAAATCTTTCAACACTTTTTCTAGAGTGCTGGTTAGTGTCCAGAACGCTCAGCCATATATTAGAAATGACTTTATCATACCCTTTGTACACATCAAGTTTCAGATTTCTTGGGATTTCAATACCTTTGAGCGGGAGAAGAAAGCTCTGTTTGCTCTAGTTGCTGAATCCAGCTTGGTGGCCGCCTATTATTTCCTCGTAATACGGATATATCCGGTTTAGTAGGATATTGGTTAATGTTATAGAATTTAAATAAAGAGACATTACTTGATGTCCCGAATCTTATTCATGGTCATATGAGACTTTAAATAAAGAACTTAAATCATTATATTTACGTAATTTACTTAATGTATTTAATTTTTTAATACAGTTGTAAATATCATGTATAAATAAATAAAAAAAAAAAAAATATTTACGTAATATAATGATGTCACGAGTTTTTCCTTACTGCTCCCACTGTACGCCGGAGAGTTGACATTGTACGACCTTGCCCCTTCTGGTGTGTTCTTAGTCTCACATTACCTAATCATCGCTCTGGAATTCACTGGTTGTAACTGCTGAAGCCTGGCTATTCCCTTCTGTTTACCATCAAAATGTCCTCAATCACTTCACAAGTTTAAACTGTTGCCTAAAAAATAGTTTTAAGTACTTTAAAATGAATATACGTACTAATAACTGTGAGCAAGAGTCCGAAAGATATGCTTATGGTTAATATTATGATCAGTAAGCTTAATATTATGACTAATTAAAATAAAAGCAATTTTATTTTATATGTTCTTAAAAAAAATAGTTTATATTTACGTACTGATTATCTACACGTCAGAGACACACTGTCATAAGTTTTAATTTTTTTAATGTTTTAGATGAACCGAAATTTCAAATCAAAAAGATTTTTTCTTTTTTATGAATAGTCGTCAATCTTCATATTTGGATTGATGCGTTATTTATTAACCTATTAGCTGATTTATGCTTATACATATAGGCACAATAATGCAAATAATACGATCAAAATTAGCAAAATAGAACTAATAGATAGACTATTTTATCATTTTTTCTTTGACATACAGATATTATCTAGATTGATTGATATCTTGACAACTAGAACTTATTGTTTGATTGAAACAAGTGAATCAGTCATTTGAGAAACACACCATTTTCATTTTGGAAGAGAAAACTTCTTTAGTCTCGTTTTGTACTTTTTTTGTTGAGAGTGAATTAGATTTAGCGATCAGATCTCCAATGTGCAACGCTCGGGTAACGTCGGCTGGAGTCGACTAATTGAAGTGTTTTTGCATATAGATTAAAGTATTTCAGAAACTAAAAATCGGACCTGAATACTGTAAGCAAGGGAATTGTTCAGAATTTCATCCTCTCTGTAATGGACTATTATTTAAAATTTATCTTAACGTGACGCCGTGTTAGAGAGGCGAAAAGGAACAAATAGTGTCGAAAACCAAATTATAACCAGTTTAATGGAAGAAATGGATTAAAATATCTCAAAAACATAAAAATCGGGTCTGCATGTTGTAAGCGAGGGAAATGTTCTGCATTCCATCCTTTTTGCAATGAGCTATTATTTATAATTTATATTTTCTATTATTTATTTCGCGTTTTTTACTTCTATCTTGTGGTATTAAGCACACTTCACCAGAGGTGCACATCCCCTCCCCCCAAGGTCGATGGCGCATCTCCTTTCCCCTCCTCAAGATTATATTGCACTCTTCTTTTTAAAAACCTCAGAAATAAAATTACTGTAGGTTATATACAATTACCCTTGTTGATTGATGTTTGTTCTGTATATTCCCTTTATTTCCTGGTTTGAAACTTCTCAGTCAGAAATTCCATAACCTTTTCAAACTGTGTCCCCCCTCCCAAAACCTCAAAATCCCGTTAAAATGAGGTCTCTCAAAAATTTAGATGGCCCAATCTGCGCCATGAAACTCCCTTCTGGGCACCCCTGCACATTACCTTTTTTTCTAAACCTGAGCCTGCCATCTTTGTTTAGTAATTAGGGCAACCTTAATCCATCTTACATAAATAAAATGGTATTTTATCTGGAATCTCTGAAAGTTGCTTTAGTTAGTAAATATCGAAGGTAGATTCAGGTTGGAGATAAAAAATGTAGATGAGTTGTTTCTCAAATTTCTGACTCAATTATTATAACTTCCTTCGAGTAACAATAATTAAAACCTATTTTTGCAGATTTAACATAAATGTATTACTGAAACGAGTTAAACAATTTATACAAAATTTGAAAGAAAAAAAAAAATCAGTGAACAAATATGACATGTCCATTGGAAAAACCAAATTGTAAAAGGAAGCTCATGACAAGTAATACACCATATGAAAAAAAACAGTGCCCATTAAATATAAAACCAGAATGTTTATTATCTCCTCCAGCCTGTCCTTTGCTTCCTCAAAGTGAAAACAAATGTGGTTACGCTAAGTTAATGGGTGAAGACATAAATGTCAATCAATGCCCATGTAAGACCTGTTTTCTAGCAGAAGGTTGTCCCATTTCTATAAATACTTGTCCCAATATTTGTAACGAGGGAAGTGACAATAACGCGGTTGCAAAATGGCCAAATAATATACCGCCATGTTTATTGTGTACCGATGGTAATACATCCAATGAGAAGAATTATGTTGTTGAGAAAGTTGAAAAAACACAGCCTAATAAAATCGGAAATAAAGCAAAAAATCAAAAATGTGCGTTAATTTCTTCGCCTCGACCACTTCCCTGTTCCGAGTGCATTCTAGATGACTTAAGCGGAGACAATAAAAGTGGCCGAAAAGTTAAAAGTTGTCCATATCTTCTTCTTCCAAATGTTTGTGGGAAAAACTGTTATTGTCCTGACGTTCCTAGTGTTGAAGCTGGGCCTCTTTGTCCATTCGCTCCAAAACCTTGCCCTTGCTGTGCAACGCCAAGATGTCCCTTATCGAGAAAACCTGACTGTATTCTACAGCCCAAGCCTGCTTGTTGTCTCCAGTCATCAAAATGTGGTATATGTATCCCAGCAAAGTGTCCAAGTTCTTTTCCATGCTGTTGTGGTTTGTGTGCTCCATGCTGTAAACCTACTTGTGGTATTTGTTTTCCAGGACCTTGCACCTGCCCTCCTTGTCCTGTAATACCTGACTGTGATTGTGGGCCCTGCCCTCTTGTTAACTCGTGTAGTCCTTGTATTTCACCTTCTTGCTGTTCGGCGTTGTTATGTTCTTGTTCACAAACATCATGTCCTCTAGTTAATACTTGTTGCTCTCCGCTAATGCCTTGCCTTGGTATTTGTTGTTCTTCACCATCTTGTGTAACATGCCTTTTAAAAAAGATCCAATGCTATTTGGATCCATGCTCTTGCTCTGTGAAATCGATCTGTCCTCCAATACCACCACCATGTTCCTTAAAAAGCGATCCTTCCGATTCTAGTGATAAACCAAAGGAAACTGTTGAGAGAATTTTCCATTTACCAACATGTCCATCGTATGAACCCCCTTGCGGAGTACATATATCACTAAAGGATCAGTGCCCTTTTTCACCAAATCCTTGTCCTATCGGTTGTGAATGTCCCTTTCCGGTAACAATGTCGATAGAGGATAAGGAAAACGATTCTCCAGAACAAAATTCAAAGGAAGATACTCCGAAAAGTAAACTTCGCAATCCTCGAGTTTCTTCCAAGAGTGTCAAATTTGAGGATCATGTAATGGCAGAAAATAAATCAGAAGATGATGAAGATGAAAATGATGAGGAAGGAGATACCAATCGGGACTCACAATGTCCTTACTCGCCTCAATGTGGGGCTATTCCATTGCCAACTTGTCCGGCAGCTGAGATCTTATGCCCAGATATTTACATAAAACCTAAAAAAGTAGAGAAGAAACCGTGCCCATTCAAAAAATGTATGAAAAAGCAGGGATGTCCTTTAGGTAAATTAAAGCCAGAAGTTGATTGCAAACTTTCCAATTGCCCTTTGACGAAAGAACCTGATTGTCCATTTGGAGAATTAGTTAACAGATGCCAACTTTTTCCTAAATGTTCTTGTACTTGTTTATGTTCACCTCCTGGTTGCTGTCCCGTTCTACCCTGTCCATTGAATGTACCGTGTGAATGCACATCAACTGACGGTCGTTATCGATCTTTTCTACTTTCAAGATCTACCAGCAGCACACTCTCATCACATCACTCTAGTTCAAATATCCACTCATCATCTTTAAGCAAAAATAACTATTTAGATTCAGTCTCATCTGAAAGTAGTACTCAAATCAGTTTTTCGAATAATTTGTTAGCATCTTCTTCAACCTTAGGCAGTGAGAAACTAGTGTTTGATGGATTCTGTTATAAAAATACTTATGAAAATCAGTCTCAAGATTTTTCTGAAATTACTGCAAGCTCTGAATGTCCTTTTGAACCTTTAGCACCCAAAAGACATTGTCGATTCGCTCCTCCGAAATGTCCCCTCACTCCCAAACCTAACACATGTCCTCTAACAAGAAAACCAGATCCATGTGCTTTGTCATTAGGAGGTGAACTTATGTGCCCTGTAAAATATCCTCCATGTAAGAAATTTCCATCTGGTAGATGCCCAATGAAAGATATAAACACATGTGACTGTGAGTACCCCGTTTCTCCATGCTTGCTTCCATTACAAGATACTGATGTGAATGCTCCACCGCAGTATTGTTTCCGAGAGGACTGCTGCATGGGCTTACCATATCCTCCTTCCGTTCTTAAAACTGCAGAAGGGAAAATCGAAAGAGGGCCTTTTTATCAATTCAAAGATACTAAACCTGATAGAGAAGAAACAAAACACTACGTAAAAATTAATAAAAAACCACTTGATGGGACCATCACTCTCTTTGGACAACCAAGAGAAAGAGTGCATAACAACTGGACAATTGTAAAACATGGGGAAGGGTATCTTAGATGCAAAACGGTAGCCAAAATATTGAAAAAAAGCGGTTCAATACGTAACTTGGATACTCAATATGACCCAGAGGACTGTCCCCTCGACGAAGAAACTATAATGGTGCTGGAAAACAGGAAAAAACATGAAAGGGACCTCCAAGAATTGGATAAAATTAGAGCCACCCTTGGTATTGTTAAAGAAGAAGAAAAAAAAAATAAAAAACAAAAATAACACGATTGTATTTTTTTTTTTTTTATATTGCTATATTCAATATTATGACAATTTGATTTTGAAGTTAAGATTGTTAAATAAACTTATAACTTATTTATAAATGATGTATTAAGATGGAGACGGATGGATCTCATGCATTGTTCATTAAACAAGCTGATCTCCTCGGTTTCATCCGGATTAAATTTCGATTATGCATGCCTATTCGATTGGGTGAGTTCATAAGTAAGTGCATCTAAATAAGTGAATTAAGACACGAAATTTACGGGAATCTTGCATAGTTGCCTAGTTTTTCAGATTGACAGATATTTATGTTTACTGATCCTTTACTATTGGTTATAAAGTACAATTTCTTCCTCAATAGAAAGCATTTACAAGAATAAAGCTGAGGCTATTTTCTTTATTACACTCTTACAGCGCATAAATTATCTTTTTATCTTAATTTTCATTTTATGGTTCTGTTTTTTTTTTAACTTTATTTTTTAACTCAAACCTAGTTTTTTGTTTTTTCGATATCCCTATCATACCAAGCATACGGGGGAGAGGGGAGTTGTTCTAGAGTTACAACTAAACCTATTCTAACCAATGTGGGAGGGACAAGATGCATTTCATAATTCTTCATTATTTCCGCGAAATAAATGTTAACCAGGCCGGATTCGAACCAGCTTCATTAGACTAGAGAATGCTGAGGCTTACGTTTTAACACGCTATTTCATCACGACTTTTTTAACTGACATTTGTCGGGAATACAAATAACCAGCGATTGTACTTTCGGGAAAAAGATAATGGAGTAAGACCTTGGTAGGCGTCAGGGAGAGGAATGTACTGCGGCGCCCCTTTCTCTCTGGACTTCATATTTATAGTTAGTGTAGAAGAACATCCCCCCCATCCGGCTTCTTTTGGGGTTCCTATGGGGCTTGTTGGTTGTGGCAATCTTTTATAGTGTGTTATGTGTGATCGTTAATTGTTGGCATCTGTAGGTCTTTATGCAATGTTATGTTAAGGGTCAATATATAACTAACCGTTATGTTTGATCCCTAGGTTCAAATAAAATAAAGTTAAATTAGATTACTCTCTATTTGAAATAAACTCACTTTTATTCGCATACTACAAATTTTACAAAGAGATTTTAGGCCTTTTGACTTTTTTACAACAATAACAATTATTAACATATGAATATTTTGAACAATATGAAATCATTTAAATATTTATAAAATAAAAATCACTTTTGACTGATTTCCTAACATCTTCCCACCTGAGGAGTTTTGATTTGTTTCTTACAATTCAAAAATAGTAATTACTTATTTTTTCAATGCTCCTTTTTCTAAGAAGTAACTTTTTTAACCGATTCTATTTCATATAAACATGAATCACTGTATTCATTTGTAGCAGTTTTCTCCATGAAAATTGGTTTGGTCGGCAGTGATGGACCATACATTAGTTATGGTAACTTCTTAGGTTGATTATTTTTGAGAGTTGTAATTGTAATTTTCAATCACTGCGTCATATCTGTCAATATGTCATATCTGGAAATATCATTTTTGCATAAATCTCTTTATCTCCATCCTTAACTGTCCTAATGCTATCTTCCTTAGCATCATCTTTAGTATATATGTTAATATTAGTATATATTTAGTAAGATTAAAATTACTAGTGATATCCAGATTGCAATAGATGACAAAAAACTAACCATACTTATACTGCTTGATTTCTCCAAAGCTTTCGATTCCATTATCCATTCCATCCTTTTCAACAAACTAAAATCATTATCCTTCTCCAATAGTTCCATCTCTTGGTTCCAGTCTTTCCTCTCACAACGAACCCAAGCAGTTTCCATACCTAATCAACCTCTATCTGCCTACCTTCCTTTATCCTCAGGAGTTGCACAGGGTTCAAGCATGTCTCCTCTTCTTTTCAGTTCTTATATTAATGACCTAAATGATTCAATTATCCATTGTTCCCACCACCTTTATGCCGACGATTCTCAAATCTATTTATCCTTTTCTCCTGCTGAGTTATTGGTGGCATTTGCCAAAATTCAAGAAGATTTAGATCGAATTAGTGCCTGGGCCAACTTAAATGGATTAAGGCTAAATGCTGCCAAAACTCAGGCCATTCTCATTGGTTCCAAGCCCCTTCTTAGATCCCACACCAACTTTCCCTCACTCTATCTAAACAACCACCCCATCACCTTCTATCCCTTTGTTAAAAATTTAGGCTTTCTCATAGATCAAACCCTTTCCTGGAATCACCATATCTCTCATATATCCCGCCGTGCAATTTCTACCCTCAAACTATTCCATCACTTCCGCCATCTTCTACCCCAAAATACCCGTAGACTCATAGTTTCCTCTCTCATCTTTCCCCACTTTGACTACAGCTGTGTGGTGTACGATGGCCTCTCGGTGGAACTGCGTGATAGACTCAAAAGACTTATGAATTGTTTCGTAAGATTTGTAATTGGAACCCCGAGACGCTCCCGTGTCTCCCACCACTACACTGAGTTAGGGTGGCTCTTCCCCTCCTTAAGAAGACAATATTTCCTTGGCACTTTCCTTTATCAAATCATTACCGACCATCGTCCTTCTTATGCCTACAACCTTCTCCAATTTAAGTCCTCAATCCATTCACTCACTACAAGATCCCGACCCTCTGACCTATACATCCCTTCTCATAGATCTGCCTCATTCCAAAATTCCTTTATAGCCCGCTCTGTCAACTTTTGGAATTCCCTCCCGATCAAAATTCGACATGCTCCTTCCCTTTATACATTCAAAAACCTCCTATTCCAATTCCTGTTCCAAAAACAGTCTGATACCAGCTAACTATTGATATTATATATGTATTGTGTAGCAATCATATAATCATAACACTTGGTAAGAGATAGTACATGCATTTCCTACTATCGACGTAGGAATTTCAATACATACATTTTTTTTTATTTTTTTTTTTATTCAATTATAAGTAACTGTTTATTTTTATATATATAATCAAGTAAAGTTTTTTTTTTTATGAAATGAACTCATTGTATCTCTTTTTCGTTCTTCATTTCTCAAAGTGTATGTTTATGTTGTTCAACCCTTAAATATAATTTTGTTCATAGTTCAAGTGATTCGTTCATAGTTTTAATTGTTTTGTTCATAATTTTAAATGCTCCGTACATAGTTTTATCTGTTTGTATATAGCTTGTGCACCTAAGGTTTTCTTTACTTTTTATTTTATTTTATCAATTTTATTTATTGTTTCAACGTTCAGGCCAGTAATATTCTATTATTTTGTACATTATTGTTATTCTGAAGGGACTTAGTCCCAGAATAAAGTTTTTTTTTCTATCTATCTTCTATCCTCATCCTCAATAGTCTAATGCTATGTTC